CACACACACACATACATTACCCAAGTCAAACAAAACTGGTGCCAATCAATTGTGCTACGTTTGTGCTGCAAAAATATTTGTTTGTGCCTCTATGGTTTTTAAGATATTGATGTTTTTTTTTCCAGAGGCCAGCATACTTGTCTTAATGTGGGTGAGGGCAGCAATATGCATCGCCATTTTCTATCCTCATGCATTGTCCTGCTGTAAACTTGACTATTCCACCTTTTGCTTTGCTTTAAATGTAAGAATATATAACCTGCAGGCACATGCCTTGCCCCTGAAAACTAACAGGTTAAATCAAGAAGGGTTTTGCACCTTTATTTATTTGTTTATGGGCAGGACATGAAGTAAAGACAAGTAAAAAAGCTTCAGTTACTCAATTTTTACCAACTCATGACCAAAATGGTTTACAAATCCCTTGAAGTTCAGTTGTTTATTTGGCTGCATGGTATTTAGAAAAAAAATGCACTTGGGCATCCTTCTGTTATTTTGTCCAAGTAAACATTRATTATCTGGCAGTTATTTTGTATTGTTGTGTGTTTTTTACTCAAAAACCCTTAGCAAATTCTATGAGCTGATGCTAACAGAAGCGTTAAAAGTGAATACAATTTTTCAATTGTTCTAAAGTCACCCCCTTTCAGTCAAAATCAGATTTTTCTCCTCCACTTGATGATGTAAGCATTAGAATTTGTGAATGAGACCAGATGTTTTGGAAATTCAGCTTTTATGAAATGCATTAATCATATATGGTCAGGGTTGCACATAAAATTTTTGGTCTGATTCTCAGGGGAGAACCTAGGGTTGTTGCTTGTTGCTCATATTTTCCTTCACTCATTTAACACATTTATCTATAGGAGTGTCAGGGCATCTAATGTCCACCTGTTCTGTTTTATGACTCCTTCAGCTGCAACGTCTCAGGACATCATGCCAAATCAGTCCACCATTTTTTATTTTATTTTTTTTACTCTGCATAAATTTGGTAAACTAAGAGGCCAAGGGGCTGGGTGTCATTTAAACATCACAAACTGAACATTTCACAGTTAAATGTCTTTTAGACTACACATGTCCCTCAGATGGACAGCTCCTGTAGTTTGACCTTCTGCATCTTCAGCCTTGGTTAAACCAGCTTTCCACACTCTCCAATCCAAGCAGCAAATATCTGTCTTTTGCACAGAGCAAAATAACTTAAACAGGCCCGGTGCTAGTCATCTGGGTGCCCTAAGCGCAACTGCTTTGTGGTGCCCTCCCCCTCCCAGAAATGAAAAATATTTCAGTATTGCCAGTGTGCTTCTCTTTATTTGAAATAATAATAATAATAATAATAATGATGATGATAATAATAATAATAATAATAATAATAAT